ATTTTGTCTTTGAAGTTGGAGTGACACCATAATTTGTATATGAGGGTGGACTGACACCATAATTTGTCTTTGAAGGTGGAGTGACACCATAATTTGTATAGGAGGGTGGACTGGCACCATAATTTGTCTTTGAAGGTGGAGTGACACCATAATTTGTCTTTGAAGTTGGAGTGACACCATAATTTGTCTTTGAAGGTGGAGTGACACCATAATTTGTATAGGAGGGTGGACTGGCACCATAATTTGTCTTTGAAGGTGGAGTGACACCATAATTTGTATATGAGGGTGGACTGACACCATAATTTGTCTTTGAGGGTGGAGTGACACCATAATTTGTATTTGAAGGTGGAGTGACACCACAATTTGTCTTTGAAGGTGGAGAGAAAACATAATTTGTATAGGAGGGTGGACTGGCACCATAATTTGTCTTTGAAGGTGGAGTGACACCATAATTTGTATATGAGGGTGGACTGGAACCATAATTTGTCTTTGAAGGTGGAGTGACACCATATTTTGTCTTTGAAGGTGGAGTGACACCATATTTTGTCTTTGAAGGTGGAGTGACGCCATAATTTGTCTTTGAGGATGGATTATCTGAGGGTGGCCTGACACCATAATTTGTATATGAAGGTGGAGTGACACCATAATTTGTCTTTGAGGGTGGACTATCTGATGGTGGACTGACACCATAATTTGTATATGAAGGTGGAGTGACACCATAATTTGTATATGAAGGTGGAGTGACACCATAATTTGTATATGAAGGTGGAGTGACACCATAATTTGTATATGAAGGTGGAGTGACACCATAATTTGTATATGAAGGTGGAGTGACACCATAATTTGTATATGAAGGTGGAGTGACACCATAATTTGTATATGAAGGTGGAGTGACACCATAATTTGTATATGAAGGTGGAGTGACACCATAATTTGTATATGAAGGTGGAGTGACACCATAATTTGTATATGAAGGTGGAGTGACACCATAATTTGTATATGAAGGTGGAGTGACACCATAATTTGTATATGAAGGTGGAGTGACACCATAATTTGTATATGAAGGTGGAGTGACACCATAATTTGTATATGAAGGTGGAGTGACACCATAATTTGTATATGAAGGTGGAGTGACACCATAATTTGTATATGAAGGTGGAGTGACACCATAATTTGTATATGAAGGTGGAGTGACACCATAATTTGTATATGAAGGTGGAGTGACACCATAATTTGTATATGAAGGTGGAGTGACACCATAATTTGTCTTTGAGGGTGGAGTGACACCATAATTTGTCTTTGAGGGTGGACTATCTGATGGTGGACTGACACCATAATTTGTATATGAAGGTGGAGTGACACCATAATTTGTATATGAAGGTGGAGTGACACCATAATTTGTATATGAAGGTGGAGTGACACCATAATTTGTATATGAAGGTGGAGTGACACCATATTTTGTCTTTGAAGGTGGAGTGACACCATAATTTGTATATGAGGGTGGACTGACATCATAATTTGGCTTTGAGCCGGGGGAGCCACTGAAAGAAGGAGTTCAGTGCTTTGGCTGTAAACTTTGAGGATGAATTGCTCCACAGTACATGCAGCTACAGAGGTCAGGATGGCTTGTTTTACAGAACATGTACTGCTTTGTTAAGGATATGCCAATACTAGAATGTCCATACCATGGCCACAGTTACATTTTACCTATTTCCCACCCTTGGTCTGCAGACAGGGCCGGATTTACTCTCTCTCTGCTGCCCCAAGGCCATGCGCCCCTCCTACCTGCCAACTCCCCCTCCCCTTCCCCCATGGAGAATGGCAGACCTGCAGGTTGCATACAAGTGATCTCGGCGACATCACCGGGATCGCTTGTACAAAACAAGCGGCGGCTTCCCCGCTGTACATTTAGCTCTGCTTGCCCAAAGCAGGGCTATATGTAGAAAACAACTACCCACCCGGTGCCCGGAACTGCATGTCCCGGGCGTCGGGAGATAGGAATTCCACACCCCTGCCAGTTGCAGGTACTCCACACTTCCAGGTGTGTAGGATACCTTTTCCCCTGCCCCATGCTGTGGTTCTTACCACTAGCTCCTATGTTACTACAGGAAGAATGAGCTGGTGGGCTAAACCACCATCGTTGCTGGCCCCTCACACCAGCAATGATCTTCCCACATTCCACAGACAAGCACAGGGCCCCAGTGATGTCATCACTGGATCCAAAATATCAAATTTTAATAGCCTAAGCATGTTGATGAGGAGGAACAAGGGAAGCAAAACATAACCAGATTAAACTTCAGCTTTAAAGGAGAACTATGAGGTGAGTGCTTTTCACTCACCTCATAGTTCTAGCCGGACTGTGACAATGAGACTGTCACAGGTTGGCTCAGTAGATCGGGAGGTGAGGGAACACATACCGGGTTCGCTCACCTCTCGATCCTGTCACTGCTCTCTGCCGTGACAGGGGAGGGGCTGGATTCCCCTCTCCCCGCTCCGATCTGCCAGAGCTGACTGGCGGAACGGACGGGGGAGGGGGCGGGTACAGCTGGCTCTGCCTCTGGATAGGCAGAGCCAGCTGTCACTCACGCAGCTGGGTGGATCCCGTCGTCTAAGTCGAGATCCGCTCCGGCGTCTCAGTATACCGCGAGCTGTAGCTCGCGGTATACTGAGCTTAGGGTAACGGGAGGACGCTAGTTTGTGTCCTCCCGTTACCCTAAGGAGAACTATGGGGAAAAACACTGACCCCATAGTTCTCCTTTAACTTGACCACATTCAGCTACATACCTGGAAATAAAACCCTTAAGGCCCGCTCATAATTACTGTATCCATTCCAAGGCAGCGTCATCAGGATAATACTTTTGCCTTTTAGAAAGGTTACCCAGAGTTAAAACGTATCAGCGGGGCAAAAAATATATATATATAAAAATCGGTTTCCTGTAGAATGTGAAAGGTTATTGTAGCACGGTCAGATGTCTGGAAGCGTGACGCAAGCATGCAGATTAGTGAAGCCATGTATTGTATACATAACGCGGCTCTGGTTATATGCAGCCGTCTGTGTGTAATGTCGGCATGGAGGGGCCGAGCTGTTTTTGTCGTTCCTGAGTGAGGAACATGACATGATTGCTGTGTAATGTGCATTAACCCTTCAGAATTATAATGAGCAGACTGCTATGAATCAGAGGCTCTATTGAAAAACAAACCACATTCATTCCTAAATAAACCGCCAGCCTTTTTATTTGTGTGCGTATCAATGTTGTCAAATTTTGTCGGCTTGACATTTTAGCTTTCATTCATTGCTCTACCTATACATTTCATGATGGTACAACGCAGGTATAGGAGTGCTGCACAAGAAGAGATATTATACATATGTCCCTGCTGTCTTTATTCCAATAAGATCTCATTCACATGTACAGCGTGCACATCTGCGTGCCTGGGAGGGATAATTGTGTTGCGTGTAGCTTTGTACAGCCACCCGTACAACTCAATGACAGCACGCAGCTGCACGTGGCTACTTGCACATCCATACAGGTACAGATGCTTGCCCCTGGATGCAGACAGCATCCAATGGTGTGCATCCATACCTATCCGGATGTACTGTAGCTGCATCCTCTCATTGGGTTGTACAAGCGGCTACACGCAACACCAGTCCATCCTAAACACAAGTCTCTGCATGCTCTATGGGTGTGCACATCTGTGTGAATAAGGCCTTAAGCCGCTAATGTCGTATCCCACATGCCATTGGGAGGGTTAACACATGGCAGCCGTGGGCTTGAATTAAAATCGTACACCAGCTTGTGGCTGTAATGCAGAAGTGATCTTTACAGCCGCCTGATCATTGGCGAGGTGCAGGTTTTCCTCTCCTGGCCAACAGCCCCCCCCCCTCCCATGCCCCCTCCTGCAACACTTGGAAATGGTTGAGGATGGCTGGCAGTGGTGGATTGGTAAAAATCTATTCCCTCTGTGGTGTGGACCTGGAAGCGCTCTGCTCTGAGCACTTTCGGGTTCAGAGCTGTCAAACCCCAGTAACTATGGCCAGGGAAAGAAGCTGATTTTTTTTTGCTAGGACATGGGAAGGCAACCTGGGCACTCCAACTGTTGAGGAGCAAGTCCCAGGAGGCATTGCACGGCTCTGACAGTCACAGGCATGATGGGACATGAGGGATGATGGCATTTGTATTTTTGGCACAGCAGGAGTGCTGCGGTTGCCTACCCCTGTGCTAGTGTATAGGGCAGGGGAGACATCAGGGATATAGCAGACCCCTGGGTGCAGTGGCGTCACAAGGGGGGTGCGGCCCGCACCCGGGTGACACGATTGGAGGGGTGACACCAAAATGACAGTCATTTTGGTGTCACCCCCCTCTGAAAAGACAGTATCAGGAGAGATGAGGGGACCCGGCTGGCTGTCTCCTCCTCTCTGTGCCGGCGTCCATCACCAAGATGGCCACCGGCAGGTATCAGAATACTCCGCGCGTGCGCAATGACGTCTCGGCGGGGTGACACTCGGACACCGCTCCGGGTGTCACCCAGCCTCGGGACGCCCCTGCCTGGATGTCTCATTAAACAGAACCTGTCACCTCCCCAATGTTTACCACATAGCAGGCTTACCAGACCCCTTGTGATAGCAAGAAAGATTAAAAACATTATTTTAATGTCAATTTTTAACTATAGTGATGAGCTCATCTCTCTGTCAATCTCTTATTTCCTCCTATCAGCAAGCTCCTTGTCACCACATGATTGAGTCCTTGTGCTGCTTCTGTCAGCTCTGCTTACAGGGACTGCAAAAGGCTGATATCAGGGCAAATGCAGGTACTTACACTGGTTACATTTAAAAACGGACAGTCATGTGACAACCTGTGACAAGCTCAAAGAGGATTGGATAAATGTATATCTAAGACCCAAGACTTTAAACCAACTTTATGTGTATTGACATGATCACTCCAGATTTACATAAAGCCTTTTACAAATTGTTTTCATTTAACCAAAAACCGACATTTTCTTACCTAAATATGTCCCGACAAATCCTAACGCCAGGAAGCTTGAAATGACGAGAACACCGCCCACGGCAACTAGAGCCGCCCCCATGTAATAAAACTCGCGCCTTTTCAGGATCTCGGACTGGGGTTGGAAGGCCATGGCTTCTGTAAAGCTGTAAAACAATATAGAGGAACCAGTGACAAAACAAGGGAAAAGGGGGAAAAAAAAGAAATACTGTGTGACACCCTTATAGTGTAACTGCGCAGCCATAAGGAGAGCCCCGCCCCGCCAACAACACCGTAACTAGGTACCCCTACCATACAGTGCTAGTGTGGGGAAATCTCTGCTTCTACCTCAATAAATAGCCATTCTTGAGCTCCAGTCAGTGACTTTCCCTAGTCTGTGATGATGTCAACAGTCTGCTGCAGGCAGGAGGAAGCATTTCCTCAGTCTCCTCCTCCCTAATGATCTTTGTTAGATATTTGTAAGCAAAGCCTTATTTTAGACCAGGTGATATAATCATGATGTTTCTCTATGTAATGCAGCAGATCATAGCGTGTGGAAGGGGCCGGCAGGGTGCTGCACATAGCTTCCTGGAAACATCACAGCGCCCTGCCTCATACTCCTCTCAAGATCTTACAAGCAGTGGGCTGGTTTTTGGGAGGAGTTATGCAAATATCAAAATACCTTGATGGGTGGGTGTCAGGTCTGGAGGAGTGGGTGTTCCTAGGGGGGCTTTATTTGCATGGTAACACCCACATGTGATGATGAGCCTGCATGATTGAAAGAACTGACATCCAATGAATGAAAGGGGGCGGGTCAGGGACAGTCAGGATGGGGAGGACAGATTAAAGGAGAACTATGAGGTGAATGCTTTTCACTCACCTCATAGTTCTAGCTGACCTGTGACAATGAGACTGTCACAGGTCGGCTCAGTAGATCGAAAAGTGAGCGAACACATACCGGCGTTCGCTCACCTCTCGATCCTGTCACGGCTCTCTGCCGTGACAGGGGAGGGGCTGGATTCCCCCCTCCCCGCTCCGCCAGCACTGACTGGCGGAACGGACGGGGGAGGGGGTGGGTACAGCTGGCTCTGCCTCTAGATAGGCAGTGCCAGCTGTTACTCACGCAGCTGGGCGGATTTCGCCATCGATGTCGGGATCCGCTCCGGCTGCGGCGTCTCAGTATACCGCAAGCAGCAGCTCGTGCTATATAATGAGCCTAGGGTGATGAAGGGAGGACGCTAGTTTGTGTCCTCCCATTACCCTTAGGAGAACTATGGGGAAAAGCCCTGACCCCATAGTCCTCCTTTAAGATGATGCTGAACGTCCTCCAGCCAGGACATGAGGCGGGCCCTATCTGACTTGCTGCAGCTTCTAATGCACATTGTGAGAAGCTCACAGTGTTCAGTGAAATCAGAAGAAGCCATTTCAGTCCAGGAGAGGAGCCGGTACAACTGTGCAAGACTGAAGGTGAGTCTGGAGTTCAGCTTTAAATACATTTAGTGTTTTTTTTATACATATGAGATCAAAAGAGTATTTCTGGTATATATATATACTCCGCTGACATTTGGGAAGGTATCCAGAGACGAGGAGTTTATTATAGGAAGGAATGGATCCACAGTCACCGTTTTCCATCTGGTTATCATGTTGTATCTCCGGTATTAGCGTTTGGACCATTTACGGTCACGAGCAGTTTCCGCTTCAAATGGATTTATTCTGAATGGAAATCACCAATGAAACGTACAATAAAATAATCTTCTCCTACCAGGGAAATTCTCTTTGTCCTCCCGAGACCGAGTACATTTCCATTACAATGCCTTCATAATGTGGACCCATAGAACTCCAGCCAGAACATTACTGGTTCTGGGTAGAATGGGGACGGCTCAGAACCTCTGCTAGTTTTTGATTTCTGGGTCCTCATTGGGAATAATCGCCCGCTCCGTTCTTCGATCTCAGAAAGAGGAAATCCACAATTGTACGGTTGTCAGAGGAACAGGAGAAACAAGTAATCTTCCAATGGGGACACTTGTTTCAATGACAGCGGTGGGATTTCCTCTAACCTCATGGAGATTTCTACTCACTTCCCGTCCTTCCTGTGATTTCTGTTCACTTCCTGTCCTTCCCGTGATTTCTACTCATTTCCTGTCCTTCCCGTGATTTCTACTCACTTCCTGTCCTTCCTGTGATTTCTGTTCACTTCCCGTCCTTCCCGTGATTTCTACTCACTTCCTGTCCTTCCCGTGATTTCTACTCACTTCCTGTCCTTCCTGAGAGTTCTACTTACTTCCTGTCCTTCTTATGATTTCTACGCACTCCCTGACTTACTGTGATTTCTACTCACTTCCTGTCCTTCCTGGGATTTCTACTCACTTCACGTCCTTCTTGTGGTTTCTACTCACTTTCTGTCCTTCCTGTAATTTCTACTCACTCCCCGTCCTTCCTGTGATTTCTACTCACTCCCCGTCCTTCCTGTGATTTCTACTCACTTCCTGTCCTTCCTGGGATTTCTACTCACTTCACGTCCTTCTTGTGGTTTCTACTCACTTTCTGTCCTTCCTGTAATTTCTACTCACTCCCCGTCCTTCCTGTGATTTCTACTTACTTCCCTGTCCTTTCTAACATTTCTACTCACTTCCTGTTCTTCCTGACATTTGCACTTACTTCCCGTCTTACTGTGAACATGATCTGCACACACACAATCTGCAGACTGCTGGACGGGATCGATTCTCTTTACCATCGTCTTTTGGGATTATTCTTACGCTACTATGGCGCTATATTCCATATACCGGATGAAGCAATCGAATGCCTTACCGAAAGACGATGGTAAAGAGGTATCGGCCAATATGGCAGAGGTCAATATTCGAATATCTGTGAATGTTCATTTCATGCGAACAATGACAACAACAAACGTTCTCAATATATTTTCTTTTCAGACTGAATGTATTGTGATGTAATACTGCACTGTGGCCACTAGATGGCGCTGAGGAGCACCGGAAATAAATACAGAAGTCTAGAGGGTAACTGGGCTCAAGAAATCACATAGTGGTGGGCTGGCTCTTGGGAGCCGTGGGAGGTTATCAGGTCACTTGCAGAAGAGCCTGGAGTTTATGGTCATGTGACTGCCACTAAAACAGGTATTTTTGATCGTGATTTTTAATGGCATTGAGGCAGTTTTGTCTTTTTTTTTTTTTAGGTGACCTGGAACATTTAGAACACAATGGGGGGAATTTATCAATACTGCATCAGCTTCTCTCTTCAGTTTGTTCACTTAAGGTTTGAAAATGAAAGAGAGAAGCTGATTGGTTGCCATGCACAGCTGCTCCAGATTATGTCTTCTCCAGTTTTGATAAATCCCCCTCATTGGCTTTCCATCTACTTTAACATTGAGATTTTATTTCAGCAGGGAAGCTGTTACTGTGGATCAGTCGTTCTCTTATACTAAAAATTGTTCAGGTAAGGAACCCACCACGGTTCTGGTGAGCACCATCTTATCTCTGGGGGCAGAAGACTTCAACGTTTAAGAAACAGACGCGCACATCAAGAAGCAATCGTAAATATTCATGGCGGAATCAGTATATTAGGCGCTCGGCGGAGAAGTTAAAAGACAGCGATGAGTCATGAATCTTCAAAAAGGTGCGGGGTACTCCTGGAAACTTTTATACTGCAGCGTTACATAACAACACATCTAAATGGAAATGTGCGAGGGGCGCGTGTTCTGCCTAAATGTTTTGACGAAAAGGTGTCCCTCGTTGCCTTCTTAGAAAGCTGGTGATTTGTAACAGGAAGTAGTGAAAACAAGATGCATCAAATATTAAAACTGAACTGAAGTGGCGTCACAAGGGGGGTGCGGCCCGCACTGGGTGACACCATCAGAAGGGGCGACACCAAAATGTATTTTGGTGAAAAGTTGGTCACTCGGTCATGGAGTTCAACAGCTGCACGAGAGAGGAGCGGACCCGGCAGCATACCTTATCCCGCCAGGTGAACGCCCCCTGCTCTCTTTGCTGGCGTCCATCACCCAGATGGCTGCCGGCAGTTAAGCGCACATGATGTCATTACGCCCGTGCGCGATGATGTCCCAGTGGGTGACACCCGGCGGCCGCACCAGGTGACACCACGCTGAACTCCAGGCAGATATAAAAACGCACAATGTAATACGTAACGTAGACATAATGTAATATATATGACACATAATGTAATAATACGTCATTAATCATCATGAAGTACTTGGACCTGACTTGGTAACAGCCACTTGCAGTCCCTGTACAGCAGACCTCAGACTGGCAGAGGGAGAAGCAGCACAAGGAGCCAATCAGTTGTACTGCATTGCAATAAATATGCTGAAAGGAGTAGAGAGCAGAGTGATGGAAAGATGAGCTCATCAGTCTGTAGCGTCTCCTTTCACTGTCCAGTCACAGGCTGGGGGGGGGGACAAGACCTGTAACAGTGTTATTAAACTGCAGCAGAGAAAAACCCATGCTCCTGTCCTGCTAGACCGGGCTGTGCTGTGTGGCAGAAAGGTGCAATCTCAGGACTGGATGGACAGCAATAATTTTTGTAAGGTAAAACATCTCCCGTATATGTACTTCATCTGTGAATTTAACGGTCTGTCCAGCTTTAATCTCCTACCTACTGAATGACATGGCAAGAGCAACTACACTAAACTTCCTAACCATCCAGTGGCAGTTGGTAGCCTATGAGGCATCATTGGAAATTGTTGGAAGGTTCTCTGAGGCATTAGGACTTGGCTTGTTCCAGCAAATAGGTAGATGACAGTTTTTATTGTTTAGTGACTAGGGATGCAACGATACCAATACTAGTATCGGTGCTGATGGCGAGTATTTGGGCGAGTACTCATACTCGCCCAAATGCTCCGATGCCTAGCCCGATACTTCCGGTATCAGGAAGCCGGGCAGCGTGTGATGACGTGGTGCTTGGCCTTTTGATTGGCCGGGAAGCCGGCTTCATGCTTGCTCGTCCCCTCATGACAAGGGAGCATGGAGCCAGCTTCCCGGCCAATCAGGAAGCCGGGTGCCGCGCCATCACATAGCGCCCTGCTTCCTGATTGGCCAGAAAGTCAGGTGACGAGAAGCATGGGGACGGCTTTCGTGCTAATCGGGAAGCCGGATGGTGAGTCTTTACATGCCGCCTGGCTTCCTGAATGGGACTT